GTTCTCTCTCTCTCTCCCTCTCTCGCTGCTCTGACCCCCTGCTGTCTGCTGCCTCCGCTGGCCCACTCCGACTCTCCCTGCTCCTTCTTTCTGAGAACCAGGAACGGCTTGCCTACTTACACCCAGTCGCGGATTGGCTCTGGCAGGGCTGAGAAGAGACCGCCGGGGTGGGCAGGGCACAGGGGGAGGGAGGGAGGGAGGCAGGGGAGGGGGTGGAGGGGGGTCCGGCTCTGGTGCGATAGGCCAGAAGCGGTGTCTGTGGCAGAGGGAGGAGGCAAGAGTTTGGAGACCCCCCCCCGCTCCTCCCTCCCTCCTTTTGGGCATCACCGCGCATAGGTGGGTTGAGTACAGAGGGCAGCGAAAGCGGATTGAAGGAATATCTGCTTATTGCTTACCTATCGGATGCAAACGCATTTTCGGTCGAAATAGACTTAGTGCCCCCCCCCATTTCCTTTTGACTCAGCAATATTCCCATCTGGAGGGTGACCATGGATGGAGAGGTGGAAGTGAGCCAGCGCCAGGACTCCAGACAGGTGCCTGTCAGGAAGGCTGTCAGTTGAATAAACGGAACCTGATCAAAATGAAACCGTGCAGAGGATGTGTAACATCCAGTGTGAGGGCAGCAGCGGGGTAACACCAGGGACTTTTAGTGAATCGGTGAGTCAATATAGACAAGAAACATAAAGTCTGCAGAGCTGCAAAACACAGTAGCCTGTATGTGAACATTTTTTTCCAGAGAGAGAGAGAAAAGTGAAGTATATCTTTCATGACACAAGCACAGACGCTAAACAAAAGCTTCATTTCACTACAAAAACACTTTCACGTATGCGTCCTGTTTGAAGTGGTTATGGGTATGGGAATCACCTCGCTTCTTTTTTCTAAGTTTAAATCTCATCCTCGTCTGCTGAAGCTCCAGGAGTGTGAGCTGGTGGGTTTACAAGTGAGGGTGCAGGAAGTCTATATATATTTTTGCGGTGAGGCTTCAGCTCTGCCACCATCCAACCCCCCCTCTAACCTTAAATCTGTGCCTGCTCTGTTGGTTTTTCGCTACCAGTCAAAAGAAGTTAAAACTACATCTGCACCAGATTTTCCAATAAGGCAACTGATTTATGTTTGTTTGTGTAAAGCAGTGGTTCCCAACATGGAAGTCGAGACCCTCCAAGTGGTCGCAAGATACATTATGAGGGGTCAGGAGATGATTGAAAAGTGCAGCTGCTTCACAAGTTATGTTTATTTTTTAAGACTTTTTTTGTACTCTTTGTAATTTATTGTGAAATTTTGGAAACCTTTTTAAAAAGTTTCATATGAAATAATCTGAAAAGGCAAGATCGCTCTTTAATTGAACTGATGGCACAGTAAGCAACCTGTGACCAGTGGTGGATTGTAACTAAGTACATTTTACCCGAGTACTGTACTTTAGTATAATTTTAAAGTAGGCTACTTATACTTACTTACTACTACTCCACTATATTTTGGATCCTGAGGGGAGGCATAAACAGTGCCTGGCCACCTCAGCTGCTGCCCCAGTTTGGTGTCAAATTTTATTTTATTTTAAGATTCTAAAAATAACGTGTAAAAAAAATGGAAAAATAATTCAATGATGTGTTATGGCCATATTTTAGATTAAGTGATAAACCTAAAAGATATTTATTATTTATTTATTATAATGTCTGAAGATTTGGAAATACAACAATTTATTTCTAGTTCTAGTTAAAATGTATTTATTTGGGAGATTTTCCAAGCAAATATTGATTATATGTGATTGTTTCTGTGGCCACCGACATTTATTTTGACAGATTTAGTCACTAGTTATTTTACAAACAATAAATTATGGTGAATTCTTATGGATTAAATTACCCATCAGTATATAAAGTAAATTAGCTCCACTGTTACCAGCTCCAACTTTAAAGTGATGAACATATTAATGCACCAATCATAACAATCCAGTTATATGACATTAGGAAATGGGCCATTTTACAGAATGAATACTTTTAGTTTTGGTAGCCTACATTAATAATATTCATATATTTGAAATATGGGGGTTTTACTTGTGACAGTATTTCTACAGTACACTGTGTTATTGCTACTTTTAAGATCTGAGTACTTCTTCCGTCAGCATTTCACAGCTTTAAAGGAACCACCGTTTGTGTTTGAAAGCATCAGAAGAACTTGCAGAGAGACTCTTCAGTCTGTCTGAGGATGAATGAATTGAGGATTGTTTGACTTTACTAATTAAATTTGCAGAACAAATATACACTGACTGTTGCTATTACTATTTAATGCAACACTGCTGTGTGACGAATTATAAAATACTTATTATTGTGTTGTTTTTAGCCCCTGAAACTCCCAGAGTAGTTTGTTTCCAGCGAGTAAAGACTTTCCTCTGAATCTATTTCAGAGCCAGAATGACAGGCAGCAATTACAGACCTGTTTATCCCCCCACCTCTATTCATGGCTGGTAATCCAGGCTGGTCTGCCATCATTAACCTTTTCCACTCAGTCTCCTCGCTCCACTGTGGCCTCTCTTCTTCACATTCAGTCTTCCCATTATTTAACCGGCCCTCCTGTTCTCTCATGTGACTGTGGAGATACATACTTAATACGCAATATATTTCTAAGATGCTCCTTCCTCCTGCTGTGTTTGTGGTATTAATAAAGTGTTATCGCCATCTAGTGGTCATTGTGCAGGCCTGAAGTGTCTGCTAACTGAGTCCTCCATTACAAAACTCCTCTATGTGTGCACTGTAGAAATGTATAAACATGGTTTGAAATACAGCATACAGCCTCTCTTCTCCCCCCTAACTAAATATGTCAACATAATTCACAAACAGCAGAGCAAAACCCCTCAAATATTCACAGCTACAAGGCAATCATCCTCTTACTGACACATTTATGCTGCTTTGTGAGACTCAGCGGGGGCTATTCAGTGTGCAAATAATAACAAGTGTAAATCCAATATGTTAATGCCTCTTAACTCGTAGAGGTGAACGATAAAGCTCTCATTGCCGCCCACATGGGCTGAATGGCTGTTAAAAACCACTTGGACATTAATGAGAGAGGAGAGGTAAAATAAATGTGTGTGAGGGATGGAAAGTTACAGGAAGAAAAGGCAGGTGTATCAGTGAGACTGTAATCTGCTCTCATGGAGGCGGATATTCATTGAGTTCCAGGCAAGAGGAGAAGAGATTTAAGTGTCCCCACATTCACAAGCTTAACCTTGGATGTGAGTGTGTCTGCCCTCTGCTGAGAGGTACAGGATTAGGGTTGGGGATCCAGGAGCAGCAACAGCAAAGCTAGGACCGGGAGGCTGAAGCAGAGCAGAACAGTTCTTAACCATTCGACCGGTCGCTCACATGAGAAGTTATTTTAACACAGGACAGTGTTGAAGTTGAGTCACCAAACCTCTCGAGTCCCAGATCCACAGAGAGCACGACTCACAGTCACTGCGGCTATGTCCAAGTCCAGTCTCAAGTGGTGCTCTGAATCCTGATATCCAAAGTGAAATGAAACAATTTAAAGGATAATTTCACTCAAATTACAGAAACAACTAATCCTTACTCAAGTTGCAGTAGTCGAAAGAAAACAATTAGTCAAATACTTACTACATAATACTACATAAGGAGAATTATTTTTATTTTCAATATGTTGTAGTTTTTACTCTACAGTCTGCAACTTCACCACTAGATTTCACTAAATCCTACAAACTGGACCTTAAAATTCATAGTTTAATTAAATAGAAACATAAAATAGTAATAATTTGTTCTCTGTTTAAATATTTTTATTTTTTAAACTTCCCAAAGAGATCCTATTCCATCCATTCAGATTTATTGACCTTTATCACCTATCTGTCTTTATTTTTATTTTACATTAAAAAAATGATTAAGCAAGTAGTTCCCAACATTTTTTACTTTTGACCCCTTATAATAAAGGAGTGTCTAATTGGGTTTCTTTGTCACATTTTAGAAAGTACTAATCAAGGCCTATAAAGAGGTAACATGAACCAGTTTTCACAAAGAAAAGTGAACAAAACTCATACAAATATGTGTAACAGTAGTTCTTTAAGGATCTGAATACAACTTCCACCGCTGTATGGTGGCTCTGTGGTTCTCTCCAAATTTTCTTTCTGTCAATTAATGTAGATTAATGTTGGAAAAATAAGATTCACATAAAGTATAATTGAACAGTTAAGAGAATAAATTAAACATGAAAAGTCTAAAAGACCATGTTTTTGGTTTTAGGTCAAAACTTTCTAAAGTTGGTTTGGGATGCATTGATTTTTTAAATCCTGGTTACGGCATTGAAAAATTACATCTAAACGATTCAACAGCAAAATGTCTCTACAACAACAAACCTGACTGTAAACAGTTAATTGGAACTACTTTTTACTGAAGAAACAGTCCTGATGAAAACTGTTGAAAGTGAGAGACATTATAAGTTGAGAAGCCCAAATCTCGTAATTTATTTTACATTGTCAGCTTGCTTAGTAGTTATAGTGGTGTTTGGGGGATGGATAGTTATGGTGTTAAATCTCCAGAAGGATTTAAAGGCTTCTGAAATTAAACAGTTTCAAACTAAAGTAAAAGAAACTCTTATAAATCTAAATCTTATAAATAAAGTATCAAAGTCATCAACATCCAAGTTTGAGTTGAATTAACAGAAACAGAAACACACATACACAGCAAGCAAATGAGCTCATGCCTCAACACACTCAACAAGATGATATCTAAATCCACTTTATTCTTACATCCAGATATACACCATCATCATAATCATCATCGTCACCATCATGGTTGTCAAGAATCATCATTATCATCAAAATCATAATCATCACCTTCAACACCACGCTCAAGATCTTCATTGTGACAGCATAATTAGCTATTTTTTTCTGTTTAAAAGCTAAAGCTGTGATAAATAAAAAATAAAACATTTGGTCCTTTAATATATAGTCTAGGCAACATGGTATCAGGGGTTAAGACAGAAATGCCTTGTTGCTACCCACACAAAACATCAAACATCACTGGAAATGGCGCTAAAACAATGTCGTAGGGCAACAGAAGGAGGAGCAAACTGAACATGAGGCTGATGGCAAGTGTCGGGCAAACCGAGAGATAGGGAGAGAGTCTGTGAGCGTCAAAGAAACAGTTAGCGACCAGAGCTGTGAAATCAGATGAAAGGCAGCGAGACAGACAACAGATGAAAGACTCAGAGGCTGAGGAGCGAGGAAGCATACAACAGACCCACAGAGAGGCACGTATTTACAGTACAGGGAGCCGGGTGGAACAAAATCTAGTCAGCACAGCAGAGCAGAGCAGGATTGTTTGTCACACAAAAAACACAATTTACAGAAGTCGTCAGAGTGAACATGTAGGTTTAAAAGTTTTGTCTTTGTTTAAAAACTAAACACCACACACCTGGGACAACAAAACTACCAGTGGACTGCTCCTAATTATTCAAATTCATATGAGTATCGACTTTACAGTGATTTTTAAACTCTATATCCTTATAATTCTTATTATTCAGATGAGAAAATATTACACTTTGGTGCAGAATGGGAAGCAAGAGGGGGTTGGAGCTGGAAACCAGGACGTGTCTGTTCTATTGCCTGCATTTAAAACTGACATCACAGTAGACTTACTTCCCAACAGCAGGAAGATTATTATTTTCTCACATTTATTATTATTGTCAAGGTCATTTCCTGTCACATTAGGAGAGTGTTCAGTGTTTCACATGTATTGCTGTTTCCATTGTCAAGAAAATGGAGACTTTTCACATATACTACCTTTTTTTTCTGACTCTCAGCTATTGCTTCCATCCCATTTTACTGTTTCCACTTCAGCTCCCCTGCTTGCTCCAACAATCACTAACACAGATATGTATGTATACATTTGGATGTTTTTTTTAGACTCGAACCATTGCCTGCACCTACAACTCAACAGGCCCATAAAGAGTCTGTATCCTCGATCAGTGGCTTGGTTGAGAGTCACATGAACACCTGATGTTCTAAGACAATCACATCCTAGAGTGAATGCAAACAAGATGTACCTGTCCACATGAGATCATTGGACGTCTGGTGCCAACTCTGACACAACTCTGTATATCCATTACTCCTCTTATCAGTAACGGCTAGTTTAAGTCCTTTAAGATTTTCTTCTTGATCTTTCTTACATGTTGGCGGGCAATTTGTGTCTTAGTCCCTCTGAGTCTTTTTTAGCCTGTGGCAGCTGAGGGTCCTTTTTCCCAACTTTAGGGGAGGTGGTGTTGGCAGGGGTGGCTGCATGTGCTGACTGGGTGGTAGTGGTGGATGCCTGAGAGGTCTGGGCAGGGGTAGAGGTTGTATTGAGTTTTGAGGAGTGGGCAGGGGCAGCTGTGGTGGATGGCATTTGTTTTGGGGGATGAGCAGAGGCAGACTGGATACTAGGAGAGGTGATGGTAGAGGAAGGGGTGGTAGTCAGAGAGGAGGGATTAGTGGAGCTCTTCAATGTTGTTGAGGATGGGGTTGTTTTGGTGGAATGACCAGAGCCTGAAGTGGGGCTTTGAGTTACAACAAGAGGGGTTTGCTTCACAGGATGAACTGAGAAAGTTACTTTAGTTGGAAAGCTAGTGCTAGCTGGGGTGGGGGATGCAGTTTGAGTTGGGGTTAGAGGTGAGGCCTGTTTTGGGATCTGGCTCGAGGTAGGGCCTTTGGCTGAGCTGGAGACAGAAGGCTGGAGACAAGGGGTTGGACTCTGGGACTTACTATGGGAGGGGACAGATGTAACAGGGATGGGAGAGGGGGAAGGTGAAGGAGTAAAGGTCTGACTAGGAGTAACAGGTGTAAGTCCAGGCGTTTGGGAGGGGGTAGAAGTGCGGGTGCGGGTAGTCTGAGTGGGAGTCGGTATTGTAGAGGGGATTGGGGTTGGAGCAGGACTGGGGCCAGACAGTGGAGAAGCAGAGGGAGGTGTGTTGGATGCCTTGGCTCGGGGGCTTTGGGGATGCGGTGGTAAAGAAGTTACCAAGGAGGAAGGGGGAGAAGAGGAGGTGAGAGATGACTTGTGCCCATAAGTTTGAGGTAGGGGAACAGGGGCAGAAACAGAAGATGGAGGCGGTGTGGAGGAAGGAGAGGGAGAGGAAGAGCGGGGAGAGGGTGTATGGAGCGGTTTGGGACGAGGAGTTGATGAGAGCGACAGCGGGTGTGTTCCCGCTGAAGGAGGGGTGGAGCAAGGAGGAGGAGGAGAGAAGGAACGAGAGGCGGTCATTGGGATTGGTTTAGGACGTGGTGGCTGGGAGAGTATAGGTGTAGGAGACGAGGGGGTGGGTACAGGTGAAGGGGTGGCAGAGGAGAGCGGAGTCTGCTTTGGAGGGGAGGAAGATGGCAAAGAAGCTACAGAAGGCATGTGTGCAGCCATAGGTGTGGGTACAGACTGTGTGTATGTGGCTGTGGGCTGAATAGGAACTGTGGCCTGTGCTTGTGTTTGCACATTAAACGGTATATTTGTCACCGCCTGTACTGGAACGTTAGAAGTCAGCATGCCCGCACTGCTTCCCCTGGCTAATTGCCCTACCAAGAAAGGAGCTGGCAGCAAATTGCCACCAGAGGCCTTGCGGTGGAGAGGCGGGTGTGGCTGCACTCCAGCCCAGGAGCGGTGAGGCAGAGTGGGCTGCGAGGCCGACAGCAGCCTGGCCTCCTGGGTTAGTCTGCCCAGCGCTGGGAGACACTGAGAGCTGCTTCCTCCATGACGTAACAAAGCTTCTTTTGCTCCCTGCTGGCCCGTGACAGAAGTGTTGCCATCTAACGGGGCACCAGAAGCAGCAGGGGGGTTGGTGGTAGTGACCTTGTGGAGGGGTGGAGTTGGGGTTACAAGTGATCCAGCAATCACAGAGGGATGATCAGCCTGGAGGCGGAGGCTGTAATGAAGAGTCCTTCCTTGTTGTATGGAAGTCGCAACAGAGGAGGCTTGTGTGGGTGGAGTTTTAGCAATAGGGGGCGATGTCACTCCACCAGGAGGGCCCATGCTCGAGGGAGAGGCAGGAAAACCTCTTGGGGACAAACCACCCATCCCTCCCATCGTCATCATTCCGATGAGTGAGCTCACAGAGGGGCGGAGGGGCTGTAACACAGGAGCACGAGGAGGAGACAGAGGGAAAGAGGAGGAGGGAGAGGGAGAGACAAGAGGGGAGGGCAGGAAGAAAGTACCACCAAGTGCATGCTGCTGCAAGTGCTGGAGCTGCTGCTGTTGTTGCTGCTGCTGGTGCATGAGGGCGATGGCTACATTACTGGTGGCAGCTGCAGTTTGCAGAGGGGCATGGACCAGCGGTGCCCAGATGACCGGGCGTGGCCGAGGAGACACTGTGCCACTTCCTCCCATGACTCCACCTCTTCCTGCAGCAGCGGCCGCAATGGCATCCTGCATGGCCGGCATGCTGTCGTGTTTGACAATCTGCTGCACCAGCATGCTGTCACAGGAACCAAGGCTGCCTGCTGCCAAGCCTCCTCCGGCTCCTGGACCTCCACCCCGACCTCCACCACGACCCATACTGCCCCCCAGAGAACCACCCTGGGATGACTTACGCAGGAGCATGGAGTTTTTCCTGCCTGTAGAGGAAAAAAAGGAGAGAAAATATAAAGCGACAAAATCTGAGATTTTAAATACCAGAAAGGAAAGGCGTAAATGAGTAAAAAACCTGTACTTTGTGGAAGGCTAAGTTGTCTGCTCAACACATAGCAGACATCTGAGGTTTTAGCCTCAAGGTTTTTCTGTTCTTTACTGAGAACACTGCTCATCCTTTATTATTTCAGCTTTTACTTTCAGCTTGTTTTCTCAGATGAGTTCTGACCTTTCAGCTAAGGACAAAGTGCCTGGGAAATTTAGCAGAATTGGATGCTACGAATATTTGGCAAGGTCATTGGAGAATTAAAAGCTAGATGGAGAATAGCAAGTCATTGCATAAATAAGACGGTGAGAGAAATGTATTCAATCAGAAATCTACACTTTACCGATACGGTCCAGTCGGTCAACAGCAACAGTTTCAAATGCACGCCGCATCATCGGGTGTTCCTCCAGCACCTCGTTAAAGCTGTCCACACTGAGAGAGTACAGACGACAATATGTATCTGCACGGACGCTGGCTGTCCGCCGTCCACGAGTCAGCAAACAGATCTCTGAATGTGGGAGGACAGACAACGGAAGCAGGAGAAAAGAGGAAAGAGACAATAGGCAGTGAGATAAATTAACCCTGCTTGTGCACAAACATGTAAATACTTTCTTTCCCCATACCTTCGTACACAACTCTGCATGTTCTCACCTCCAAAATAAGACCCATCGCTTAGCTTGGTTTCCTTGTTACCACGGGTCAGCACACTGACTCGTCCATGCTGGATGAAGTACATCTTCCGCCCAACTGTGCCCTCACGGATGATAAAGTCTGAAGGCTGAAACACTTCAAAGCGGAGCTTGATCAGCACGGCAGTCACAAAGTTGGGATCAGCGTTGGCGAACAGTGGCATGTTAGCCACCAGGCTGCGGCAGTTGAAGCTCACTATCTCCTAGACAAAGAGAGATAAAGAGACAAAGAGAGAAGTGAAGGAAGACAGATTTGCTAGAGGACTGAACATTTGTGTTTTTTTTATTGTAGGCGTGGTGTTTAGGTGTTTATTACCTCTTTGAGTGGCTCGCTGAGTTCTCCCAGGATGTTCTCCTCATCAAACATTTTACCCTGGAAGCGGTGCTCGTAGTACTCGTGGATCTTTTGCCGAACATCTGCAGGAAGCTTATGGAATGACATGTACTGCTCCACCTGCTTGTACTGCAATAACACACAAGGACACACATGCACTGGTCAGGATCTTCAAAACATTCACTTTAAAAGAAAAGAACATAATTAATATTGATAAGGCCTCTGCTTAAAATAAAGCAACTTCTCCATGTGACCCATGCACCTGAAATCACTCCCTCATTCACTACTCCATATATAGCAGACACTCAATAGTTTGCAATATATTAAGATTTTAGAAACTTGTGTTTGAATCACTTTGCATCATCACTGGCAGATGTTGCAACTCTGTACATGGACACTATTTATTTCCTTCCATTGTGGTAATTGTTGAGAGAACTACTGAATATAGTATTTTTTTTACAATTATTTTGACAGATATTGTGATTGCAATTCATGATTATGTGAGATTGATAATTTTTGAATCACAAATTGAATTTTCACTAAAAAAAACTATTAAAACATGAATGCATGGGAACAAACATCAATCATCTGTTACACATTTTTACCTTTATCAAACAGCACCAGCTATTGCAATTGCATATTACACTTGGCCATATTGGGTTTTCAATAATATTTTGATTAATTGTGTAAAAAAAAAAGACAGACAGTAAGGGCACTATATGCAATAGTAGGTTGCAAGCAGTTTGACTAAAATGATTTCCCCATCTCAGACTGTTAGTGGAAATAACTCCAGTATTTCACAAGAAAAAGGAATAATTTGAGAGAGGTCAGGAAAAAAGAAATATATCAAGGTAGGAGAAATGTGTTTTTGAATCTGTCCTATCTCATTAATCATCTAGTCCTGACCCCCAGGTTGGAAACTCCTAGATTTGTCCTTCGATAGACAATTAACAAGTCATTTATCAAGCCAAAATGCCAAACCTTCACTGGTTCTAGCTTCAGAAATATTATTCTTTATAATATGTTTGTATGATTGTAAATTGAGCATGTCTGAGTTCTTGATCGATGGCCCGACAAAACAAGACATTTAAAGATCTCCATTTAAAGGTCTCCATGGGCACTGGGAAGTTGTGAGAGCATTTTTTACTGACCTTTTATAGACTAAAAGTAAGTTGCAGCCCGAGACAGAAATTGATTTTATAAGTTTAATGGCTAAACTATAAAAAGTATAGCGGGAGAGATGGACGCCTTAACAGATGGATGAGCATCATGTTTCACCTTTTCTTGGTACTGTCGTCGCGAGGAGTCCAATGACTGGATGAGAGCGGTGGCATGGCCAATGAACATGGCATAGCAGGTGGCACCTACGATCATACTGAGCATGGTGAGCCACACATCAGTCATCCCTTCTGGAGCCTGGGCACCATACCCGATACACAACATGTGGCTCATGGCTTTGAATAGAGCATAGGAGTACTGAATGCCCCATGTGTCATTCTGTGAGTGGGAGACAGACAGAAAGGGTGACAGGAGGAGTAAGGGAAGTTTCAAGTGTTAATTAAAAGGCGCTGCAATATTGAACTGTTCTTATTTTAGTCAGGTCACAGGAGCTTTTTCCCCTCAGAGGCGCTCAGCCACACCACTAAAGAAAATACAGCTAAGATCATAACATATAACAGCAGAGCAATTTAACTGTCAAAACCCACTCGGCTTCAAAACAGAGCGGCTCCAGAACCTATAAAACCACACAGACAACAAAATCACAACATGCATTATTTAATACATTTCGACTACAAATAAAAAAAACACACTATGTTAGTGTGTGTGTCTGGGCCCTTCTGTTTTAGGTCTTGTGTGTGAGTCCAATTATACTAAGATATTAATGGTCTAACGGATGAGGGGACTTTCTCTGGGGAAAATCCCAGCATCCGCCTGCTTAGCAACAGTCACCCAGGCAACCACTGAGACATGAGTCAGCTATTCATACAGCTGTGTATCTGTGTGCATTCATTTGCGTCCACGTCTGTATGCCTGCGTGCACGTGACGAGATCTCCTGCAGGTCCCTAGGCTTCCGACTGCTCCACCTGATCTCTGTTGAGGTTTTTAATTGGAAAAGCTTTTTATTTTTTTTGATGATGCTAGTCAATCTTATTCCGACTGGACATGTCACTGCATAAGCCAATTAACACAGATAGGTAGCAAACGATGTCAGATCTGATAAACACCCTCACTCTGCACACACACAGATAACCCAAAACCGAGCCTCTCTGGATCTCTGATTTGCATTCATCTGAAGTAAATATTGTGCACACTGTTCAAACAAGCTGAGATAGTCCTTTGTGTGTTTCATTCAACTCAAACTGAATGACATGTTCTTTTTTTGTTCTCTGCACAATAAAATCATTCACTGTAACATATTTGAAAATAACACATGCTGATGGTTAGAGACTCACCACCATCAGGTTCTTGGAAACCCAGCAGTCAGGAGGGAAATCCTGCAGCATGGGGACCAGAAACTGCAGACAGCCGTCCCAGTGGCACAGCAGCAACATCATACCGATCAGGTTAACTATCCTTACCATGGCACTGGCAAGGTCATAGGTCATATGAAAGATCTGAGGAAGAGCAGAAAATATGGATGCAAGTGGAGTAATAAATAATGGGTGGAGTCAGCAGTTGACCTTTTTATGAGGATTTTATTTCAGAATTGTTCAAAATGAAATATAAAAAGGCCTTTTTCTCCAGCTCATCGGCATGGTGTTAAAAATGGGTTGGATTAGACCCCAAAAAAATTGTGATGACTCATGCCTTACATATTAAACAGGTTTTGAACTACTGCTTTCACACAAACATCTCTTTTCCTCCAGGCTCTGTTTCCTGGTCTCTGTTTCTCACCTCCTCCCACTGGTGGATGTAGCGGATGAGTCTAGACAAGCGGAGCAGCCGAAGCAGGCTCAGGATTTTGGTGAAGCGGACGATGCGCAGTGCCCTGGCTGTCCTGTAGACCTCGGTGTCGAGACTGTCCACCATCAGGAAGATGTAGTCCACCGGGATGGATGACAGAAAGTCCACGAGGAACCAGCTCTTCAGGTAGTTCTGGCGAATCGCCCTGAAGTTAAAGTAGGATTGAAGACCAGTGTCACTGGTAAGTTGGCAATCAAGCTCTGTGGAAGTGATTCCAACATTTGGCTGGCAGAAAATGATTCTCATCAATATTCAACAGGAACAGAACTGGAACAAGAACAAAGCTCTGCCACTGGCTGCACATCACCTTTTCCATGTCAGACATGGGTTGTTTGAACACACACCCAGCAGATGGCCAGAAGAGCAAATTTAAATTCATGGTGACAGAGCTGCTGTGTTGATATTCTGGACCAGTGGTTCCCAACCTTTTTGAGAGAGAGGGCTACCTACTGGCAGAAAACTGTCGGGAGGGCCACACTGTATATTTGACGAACATCCAGGTTAAATTGATGCTATCAAGAGAATAACATGGAAGTGTGTATTTTCACCTTTTTCATATACAGGGTTGAATGAATTTTTATAACTAGGTTCAGGAACAAAGACCACGCCTTGGACTCATCTCATTTCCGCTCAAAACGTACTTAAGCACTACTTATCCGTTCACTCTCTCCTCGACTCAGTTTCCACATCCCTCCTCCCAGAACCCTTTCTTTCCTTTTTTCCCCGTCTATTTTATCCAAATACAGGAACCACTGGGGCTCTCTACAAGAGATACGCAGAGTCGGCTCCCCAACTCAGAGTCCCACAACCAACTCGGTTCCCTCTTACCATCTCACCGAACCCCTCCGTCCGTTCATCCACCACCCTTCCTTCCGATACCCCTTCATTCCTCAACCTTCATCCCTCAACCTTCAACCCTTTATCCCTGAACTCTCATCCCTTCTTCGCTTCATCCCTCATCTCTTCATCCCTCAACCCTCGACCCTCATCCCTTAATCCCTCAACCTTTCATCCCTCGACCCTCATCCCTTTATCCCTCAACCCTTTCCTGATCCATTCATCCCTCCTACAGTACACCACAACGGTTTACATTTATTAATTACGTGCAATAAACCTAAATTCCATACGTTCATTGCCGTTGTCTTTGTTAGTGAAATTATATAATATGTAACATTTCCGCATTAAAATGTCCATAAACACTAGAACTACATTATATATGTTGTTGTGTTGTGCACTTAATTAGTTAGTTATACTAACTAACTAATTGCGTTTCACCAGTCGCCTGTCAATGGTGTCTAGCAAAACACTACAGATACCTATCTCAAGCTACTTAATATTATATACAACTCTTTATGTAGATTTATTTTATTTTTTATTATTCACTTGACTGGTTGCAGCCCAATATAAAATAATAATCCACTTTCTTTAAGATCCATTATTTCTTTCTGCTGTTTCAGAACATCTTTATTTTGATCTCAGCTGAAAACAACTTGTTTATGTTTTTAATTTTTGTTTACATAATAACCTTCAGTACTTTTGATTTTATTATCCAGGTCACTGTCTTTAACCTTTTGTTTTTTGTCAGTTTTTCTTGTTTAACAACTGAGGGTGGGGAAAGGGTGAGCAACTGTCTTTATATGTGTATTTGCAGTGAATGTTTGTTATGTAATGCTGTTCTCTGTTTATATGTGTTTTGTTCTGTATTTGTGTCCTTAGGACCCGCTCGAAAATGAGATGCTGCATCTCAAGGGGCTATCCTTTCAATAAATTCATGTCTATATCCACTTTACGCATGCATCAGCGTTATTGTCATAACCAGTTTTAGGCCCCATTTTTACGATACACTTTTAAGATCTTGGTCGTTGTTAACTATATATTTTAAATGGATGAAGGATTATTGATCTTATGGCTGCTTGAAAGCTGTCAGGGATGTTGTTTGTCGGAGAAACCCTGATTTTTAATGTAACACTGTTTTATTCAGTGTTTTCACCGGTTTTAATCACAGAGTCTGTTTGTTTCGGAGAGGAGGAGACCTGTGCGGATAATTCAGCTCCCAAAACCATTTGAACACCGAACACTGAAAGAATCCTAACTGGGAGAAGCTGACTGCAATAACGGCAGTGGTGGTGAAGACAACAACTCCCACGATACTTCAGTGTCCCGACCCTTGACATAAAACACTCAAACACAATGCACAATGTGCCTACTGACCTGGGGTCTAGCAGTATCTCAGTGTTGTCTTCCTTGATGATGCCGGTCCTGAAGTTGAGAACCAAGTCGACCATGAAGAGAGTGTCCGAGACCACGTTGAAGATGATCCACGAGGGAGTGTTCTCCTCTCTAAAGAAAGTGATGCCCACTGGCAGGATGATTAAGTTCCCCATCATCAACATTAACATCAACAGGTCCCAGTAGAATCTAGACAGAAAAAGACAGTGTTGTTCAACTGTGTTTTGTTGTTTTCTGTTCTGATGTGATTATGTCTATATGGTTGTTCTTTTCTTTTCTTATGTTCTTGAATTTACATATTTGCCCCAAAGGCCTTTTTAACGGCAAAGCACAGGCATAAATAACAGAATTAAATGATGGGGTGACTTCCTTTTAGCTGCTTCAGTCCCAGTATTCTGAATATTGGTTTGTTGTCTGTCCTGAATCTGTTCTAACCAGGTTTTTAGCATGTAGTCTAGTAACACTGAAAAAGCAAACAACTTTTTCCATGCTATCACTGACAACTGTCTTCCAGTAGCTGCAAATCCCAGAACATTCCTAAAACACATGATAATGATTTGCTTTCACAGTCCTACAGCCTCTCCAGCACGATTTTAGTTGCTAGTCTTTCTCTTCCCCTTTCACCGACACCATCTTTACTTTCAGTTAATCATTTTATATTTCATTATCTCATATATTTTTTTTTTTCTGTTAAATCATTCCTATATATATGGTCCCCTTTTGTTGCATTCCCCTGAGTTAGACGGTGAGTACAATAACTTGGGGATCATCCAGGTCGAGAATAAGTGCAAATTCTTCATTGTAGCCTAACGTCCAGCAGTGGGATATATGAATGTTTCCCTTAAGACAGTTACACCCTTTGCAAATGCCATGGCAACATGTAGTTACATCCTTTATCTCTCCATGAAGCAGAGCAGAACTCCAACAGACAGACAGACAGGGAGGGAGGGAGGGAGGGAAATGATCAGTAACCTTGGGAGGACTCATCATTCTGTATTTCATGCTGGAGGGTATTACTGAATGACGTAGTCTTCTCATAAAAATACGGGGGAATCAGTCATATCATTTGGATGCCGCAAGTGATTAAAGTATGACAGAAGAGGCGATGTAATCATCTGGAGATGATTCCTGTCATCTTTCTGTCTTCATCCTCCTAATCCCATCATCCATCACCTTAACCAATATCAGTGACCCGCCTCTTCTTGCATCCTCCCTCTCTCTTTCTACACACACTCACATTCTCTCTTTCTGCGAGAAAGTACACTAAAAGCTCTGTGGTCGATTGCTATTGAGCGCTAATTTAGTAACACAATCTTATGGTGTGACACTACTGCTAGACTGATGAAGATTAAGCATGAGTCATCACTCTGCTACACACAAACACACATTTCTCCCTGACTTGGTCACTTATACTGACAGATGTATCACTTCATAATCACTGGCAGTAAATACGGAGATGAAGAGAGAGAGAGAGAGAAGAGGCAAAATATATATTATAATGATGCATAAACTTTTGCTATTATATGTTGTACCAGAGTTGAAACAATTAGTCTCCTAAATAATTAGAAGAAATTTGTCAATTTTGATGATCAGTGAATCACTTTAAATTAGTTTTTAGAGAAAATGCCTGAAAATGACTTCTCTTTAGCTTGCTTTTTTTCTAGTTTCCTTAGACTCATATGATATTAAACTGGATATCTTTGAGTTTTATATTGTTGCTCAGACAAAACAAACAATTTGAATGTATCAGCTGGAACTTACACTACTGATTAAACTAATTATTTGATTAATGTATAAAATAATGGGCAGATTAATGAAAAAAATATTGTGGCAGCCCTATAATAGTGGAAAGTACAAGGAGTTTTTAACTGGTTAAGAAATAGTCTCAATGACCTACATAAACAAACAAGACCATCAGTGAGAGCATTGCCTTTTTCTATGTAGTTATTCTTAATCCCTGCGGTTGGATTCTGTCCGATTCTCCTTTAAATCAATGAGGAGGTGGCGATACGACCACAGAATCGACACCAAATGAAAGTTCCTCATTGGGGCTTTATGTAGTTTTTGAGGTACTTGTACTTTTCTTGAGTAATTCAATTTTAATGCTACTTTATAATTCTACTCCACTTAGTTTCAGAGGAATTATTGTACTTTTGCACCACATTCATTTTACCGCAATAGTAAAGAAACAACCTTATTACTACTTAATTATATACTGTAGCAGAAATAAGTATTTTCTTATTTCCTTCCCCATTAAACATCTGCTGATCTAAACTACTTAACTACTTGATGGAGTATTTTTACATTGTTCTACTTTTATTTAAATAAAGGCTCTGAGTACTTACCTCCACCGCCCTACTCTATATAATACATCTCCGTCTATTACCACATACGCACACAGACAGTGAGGTGCACTGCTGCATCACTCTCCTCTCAGACAGCTTGCATAGATTTAAATGAGCGTTAATCTAACCTCAACAGCATGCAGCAATAACATTTTAGCTTGCTGAGTAACGTAATAGATGACATTGAACATGTCACTGCACATTAATCAGTCTCTCTGTACTAGATTTTGCTGTAGTCACTGAGATGTGGCAGCTGGTTTGAGCTCAAACAAATGAGAACAATCAAACAGACAAGAGAGGACGTCAGATCCAAACTAAGAATGATGTGAAGGTTTGCCATGTCGGGATAAAAACAAGGCCTGATTTCTGATCTCTCATTTGTGGACTGAAGCCACACTGGGTCATGTATTGTGTGTGGTGCATGCATGTATACATCTACACACACACAGTCTCTCTCATACGCGCAAATAGGAATTGCAAATGCAATCAAAGCTTTTCTCCAATGCCTCATCAGAATGCCATTTTGAACATGAGCAGGTGCTGGAGGAGAACTGACCTGCATCTACCTGCTCAGCTGTTGTCAAACCAAACACTAATTCTACTGTAATTGAGGCCACATGTCTCTTGAGCGGCCTCTGATTGGTTCCCTGTTCACGGTTGGCCAGATGTCAGTTCTGAGCAAGTTTCCACCTATCGTCTTGACAGACATACAAACAAGCAAGCACAACAGCAAACCAGCTATTATATAATAAATCTCTGCTACTATATGTGTAACGCCACCTATCCTGTTTCAACACGACTCATCTGTGTTGACAGTCAAACTGCCTGTCTTTCTGTTTTCAAGTGTTCTCATTATGTATTCTTATAGGTGCAGCAGCAACACGTCTTTTCTTAATGAGGTGAAGGGTGGGAGAGCTTATCAGCAGACTCAATAAAGCCAGACCACACACACAAGCATACATATTACTGCACGTATACACACAGACCTTTGTGCTCAAGGTCACCAGGGAAAAAACACATAAATGGGGCTTTAGAAGTAATCTGTCTGTTTTTTTTCTCTCTCGCTCCGGCCTCATAAAGTTCCTAAGTTCCTCCTCAGACGTCGCTCCAGACTACAGGTACTTAACTGAAAAGTTAGATGACTGAATTATGTATAATGCATACTCAACTTGAATAATTTAAGGATGTCATACATAATTGATCAAAATTCAATTGTGATTCTCTGACTGGATAATTAGGACTATTACGATCATTAGATATCTCACATGAATATCCATAAAGCGCAGGCGGGACTAAGATTCAACAGGCCGTTCATCCATCCACACCCCTTCATCCATCCTTCCCTCCACCCCTCACTGACCTCATTCACCGTATCTCCTGTGAGCAGACTCATAAGCAGCACTTGTGACTGATCATCAAATTGACAGACAATACAAAACGACCCGGCCTATGCGTGTAAGTGTGTATGTGTGTGTGT